ATTTCGCTTTTGGCTGCCGCTGCCGCCTTGTCTGTGAAGCTTGTCTCCTTTCATGGTTTCGCTTTTGGCTGCCGCTGCCGCCTTGTCTTAAGCTTGTCTCCCTTCATGATTTCGCTTTTGGCTGCCGCTGCCGCCTTGTCTCTCAAGCTTGTCTCCCTTCATGATTTCGCTCTTGGCTGCCGCTGCCGTCCTGTTTCTCAAGCTTGTCTCCCTTCATAACTTCGCTCTTGGCTGCCTCTGCCGGCTTGTCATTTTCTTGCCTGCCTTTGACGCAGATGCTGTTATAAGATGATTTAGGTCTTGTGTACCTTTTCCATCCTTTTCCCTGCTTTGAGTGTGTCTCCCAAGCTTGTCTCCCGCTCTTGCCATGCTATCCTTTTCTTGAAGTGCTATCTGGGGTCTATGCCGGTGAAATTTCTTGGCAATTGGAAGATTTTGCGTCAACCTGAATCTAGCCTTCCTGCCCCCAAAAGAACCTTCATTGGAAGGATCCATATCCAAAAACCTGGGGAACGAAGCCGAGCCAAGCAGCAAAAATCCGCTTCTCGAGCTCGTCCAGTTGCTGCTGTTTCTCCTGGAATTTCATGACAAAACGCGATGAAATCCTTTGTAGCGAGGTGAAGATTCAACGTTTGAAAGCTGAAGGAGTTGGTCTGGTGATGTCCGGTGTTTCCTTGTCCAGTTGCCGCAGTCGCTCGATAATATCTAAGTTATACTACCCAAGATCCCCTCGCTGCAAAATTTCAACGAAAATATGTTCCCCTGCACCAACCGGATCCTCCTCCTTGCGGTTGGCGTATAACATGGTTATTCCCCAAACAGCGTGGACACACTTAGGGGATCCCATGGTAGTAGTTAAGCGGCTGTGTTAGATCGCTGTGCCACGCGGGCGTGTCCGGCGGGCGTCCGGCTAATTCGCTTCTATTTACAATACATTCGAATATACCTCTCGAAATCGTCGAAGTGCATTTCGACTGCGCAGGCTCGCGAAAGCTGGGCGCCGGCGGCGGGTGCTTGGCAGGCGCAAGGGAAACCTCGTGTTTTGGTGGCCCAAAGTCGATTTGTCGTGACAAGTGCAAGGGCGGAGTGCAGATTTCGTGGCAGGCACAGCCCTTTGTGAACCTCATGAACCTCGAAGCGCAGATTTCGTGGCAGGCGCAGCACTTTGTGAACCTCGCAGCGCAGATTTCGTGGCAGGCGCAGATGCTCACTCTCACTCTCACTCTCTCTCTCTCTCTCACTCTCGCTCTGACTCACACTCGCACTCACACACGCTGACGCTCACGCTCACGCTCATGCGCACCCTCACTCACACTCACGCTCTCGCTCACACTCACACTCACACTCTCGCTCACACTCACACTCACACATCCCCCTTACTACTCCCAATGGACTGCCGTTTTGCTTTATATAGTAAATCTCCTTAATTAAATGGAAAACCAAAATTGCTATAAATTTGCAAAACAGACTTGTTTATAAAATGTAGCCGTTGTCGGCAAAATTGAAAATCGGCCAGATTGCCAAGAGATATGAAATCCTTATAAAATGAATTGAAATGAAGAAAATTATATATATATATAGAATGAAAAATCAACTCTCAGATGATGTCTCAAGGAAACAACATGAGATTTATAAAATGAAAATGAACCTCCGGCTGATGATCAAAGAATATCAAAAACGAGCGTAAACATTCCGACAAATTCAAGCATGCGCGCACATGCAAAAACAAAAGCACTCAGAACTGCAGTTGTCTTCATTTTCCTTGCGGCCCCTTGCAAGTTTCTGCTATTGACTCATGTTGACTCCCTTCTATATGTTCAATTCAACGTCTCTCATCTCACTTTCCACCACTTCATACATATAAAATGAAATTCCAACCCTTCCCATCACTCACTTATGTTCATGATATCGGTTTCCGTTTTCCGTTTGCCGGACCATACCGTGTTTATAAAGTGACCCCGTTTCCTGGAACCAACCTCCTTTTTTCGTTCCTTCTTGTCTGCCCCCATGACCTTTGTAAAATGAGGGTCGGCTTCATCATTTTATAGGGCCAAGTTGGCCAAGGCATCTACATTTCAAGCGGTAAAAGCGTGGGGGATACTCACTCACTCACACACTCACTCACACACTCACTCACTCACTCACTCACTCACTCACTCACTCACTCACTCACTCACTCACTCACCACCGCCACCATCGCCACGATCTCCACCTTCATCACCACCATCATCACCACCATCACCTCTCTGGACCGCAATGCGCCTAGATCTCTAGACTCTAGACTTTCTGCTACTACACCTCTAGACCTCACACACGCTGTTTGGGGTCTCTTGCCGGGATAATGATATTATGTTTGACTGTGTTTCCCTTGGTCACAATCTGTCATCCGCACTCCGACTCTTCTCCTCCAGTTGCCTCTCCGCTTCTTTGAGCTGGTGCATCTGCGACTTGGCGCGTTCCTTGTCCTGGCGGAAGCGAAGTAACTCGACGAGCTCGGCAACGCGAGCTCGGCGGTTTCGCTTCTTCGGACCCTTCCAACGAGCAAAGAAAGAGGTTCATGTCAGTTAACACAGTTCAACAAGCAACAATAGAAACCTATCTTGACCTATCTCATACCCTTGAGGGGGTTTCATGAAACGTTTTATGGGAAGACCCAACTCCCCCCCTTTTATAGAGGATATGGGGTTGGGTATCCTATATCTCTTATCAACATGGGGATGGGTCCTTCAACCTGGAGCACCCCACCACGGGATGCGAACGGCCGACACCGCCCGTGTCCCGCTGGCGCACACCTTGGTCAGCTGCGTCGTCAAAGCGCTGGCGAGCTCCTCGTCACCCGGAGGTCCGGAGTTCTACGCGCTGACAGGCACTTCTGCTCGGGGCCCGACAAGCAAGAACCCCGCGGGGACAGGCACTCGTCGGTCAGGGGTCACTTCTTCAGTGTCTCTTTCTTCGGTTTGAAGGCAGACTCACCAGACCCACTCGACTCGCGTCGTGCGGATGCCACTGGTCGTTCGGCCCGTTTAGTGGAAGGCGGCCTGCCATGTAAGGCCGGCCACCCCAACCGCTTCAGTCCTCGAGGGTGGCGTCTTCCAAGGCCTAACAGTAAAAATCCACTTGAAGGGTTCGACTCACGGGCTTTCTGCCACAAATGTGACCTAACAAAACCAATCACAGAACCAAAGATCTGAAACCTCTGTCCTCTTTTCTGACGTGATCTCCATGTAAGGTACATACAATCTTTGGTGGACCGCCAACCAGGTACATATAATCTGAGTGCCCAGTTTGTGCGGAAGGACGTCATCCCTTTGACCTGACTTCATCCACGTCCTGTCCATTGGTCTGCCAAGTGGCTCGAAGGCTATTGGAGGTGCCCATCCTGACAGGGGCGTCGTAGCCGGCGCTTGGGCGGGCACAAGCAGCCAACCACCCACCACCCGGAACCCGCTTGTAGCTCGTCTGCGATGCATCTGGCAGCCCGGAACCGCCTCAACCAACTAAAGGCATCAGCCCGGAACCACCTCAAGAAAGCACTCCTTCTAATCCCTCTCCACCATCCATTGGCTAAAGGTGCGGGTTTTCTTTTCTCCCAGGAACACCAGTGTGGTAGACCTGCTGCAAGTCATCGTCAACACAAAGATCCCTAAAAGAAACTCCAAGTCATCGGATCGCCATGGAAGCTTCGCCCTGAGACTCCGGGCCGTGCTTCGCCTGGCGCCAGGCGACGCTGTGGGGACAGGATGAAGCTGTGGGGCTTCAACTGGGGCAGTTTGCCAATTGCTCCAGTTTTGTTGGTTGCAGTTGAACTCCACCAAATCTTGGATCCACTTGAACAGGATGGTTTGGACATGCCGACTGCTCCAGCAAACTACTGTCGACTGGTCCAGAGTTTGTTTCAAAAAACAGCTCGGGTGGTGCCTTTTTGGTGCCTTTTTTGAGGCAGGTGTTGGGTTCCCCAAATGGGCGACCCGGGTATTTTTGTAGCTATCGGAGAGCGATAGCCGCGATAGCTATTGATTGGTACTGATGTTCTGATTGTTTGGTTCATCAAATGAACAGCAACCAGGCTGTCAGCCTCGCATCGTGGAGGATTCATTGCAAGTTCAGCAGCCCTTCTCACACACGACACTGGTGCACCAGCAGCAGCAAATCAACCGGGCCCCCCATGGATTGATTTCAGGATAAGCTCATCAAAAAATATGCCAACCAATCCTCTCACAAATCCATCGCCTCTCTCTCTTTCTCTTCCCCTGGCACGGAGGTGAGGTCGCCTCCCACTTGCGTCATCAGCTCTTCTTCGACCAAGGGTGGCTGTTGGTTGACCCGCCCCTGCTGTGCCTTGGTTGAGCCAAGAGCATCTAAGACTTTTTGTGTGATTGGTCTGGATTATTCAAAGCACATGTTTTCCAGTCGGATCTGAAGCATCCTCCCACATTCCCCCTCATGTCTGGCCCCTGCTGGTCCGAGTCGTACCATCTCGATCGATCAACTGAGACACCTGATGGTACCCCTCCATCGCTGGAAAGGCTGCTGGCAGGGCCGACTGCAAGCTCTGCATGGCAACTCATCCACCAAATCCCCACGTTGCAAACCTATGACTACTGACTTGTTGTCATTTAGGTCTGAGTCAGGGGGATAAACTGTTCTGACTGACTATTTTTCTGGTAGCTTGCTCTGGAAGGAATCGGATGACTTGGGAGCAGCTTCGAAAGCTACCGCAGCTCAGAGGCTGGGCAAACGGTGTTTTTCCGGCAGCTCTGATGTTTGAAAGAAACGTCAGGTGGAGAATCCATCCCGCTCTTGGAAGTCTTTAGCATCGAGGAAGAGCAATGCACCTCATTTTAAAGATGTGGCATTTGAAAGAAGTCGCGGCAGCAGAAAAAGAATGTGTTCTTTGCAAGAATCTGAGCCAGGTCCCTTGAAAGCAAATGCTTGAGCCTTCAGACACAGGCATTCTGCATCCTGCATGCATCATGAGCTGGATGGGTAAAGGCATATGGGTCACATAGATGAACCATGGATGAAACCCAAAACTTGCACACCCCCTGGAACCAGGTCTGTGATCACCAGCGCAGCCTCAGTGAACCACCCCCTGGAACTCCAATTTTTTGACCCATTGAGTCAACACGGAGGCGCTGAGTCAACATGCATGGAACAGAGCGTGAGTTTGTGGCCTCCCAAAGCAACTCAGGTCAAGAGACCAAAGAGACCCAAAGCAACTGATGGTTCCAGCGGACCGCCCTTAGCCCATCAGCTTGACAGCTCCGTTCGTAGCGATGCCGCTCCGATCGCATCATTCCCTTCAGAGACCCTCCCAGTGCAGGAAGTTTTTTTCCGAAAGTGAAGCCCCACACTGTGTGGTGGGCCCTCCTCGTTAGCGGTGGCGGTGGCGGCGTCGACTACTCCGCCACTGCAGCGGTTTGGGCGTGACGACGGTGGTTAATTGGGTGATGGCTCGATTTTTGTGTTTCATTATTTGGGGTGGCTACCTGCTCCGCTTACAATCATTGAAATCGTGTTTTCTTTTTAATGTCCGTTTAGATTTCCTTTTACATTCCTTTTCAATATCCTGTTGTTTAAGTCTATACTTTGATTTGGAATTCAATTTAGATTTCAATAAAATTTGGATTTCCCTTGCGGTTTGAATTTGTCATTTGCGTCCTTCTAAAATCCCTTTTGAACTAAATAGTTATATAGCATTTAAGTCTATCACGCGTTCTTTGAGTTCCTTTTCAAGTTCTTTTAAAATTCATTTGTCCTTGTCAATTTATCCTGTCAAATTCCACCTGAAATGTCCACAGGCCAACAACTAAGAAGACCAGCTGGGATGGCGCCTCACTTGCGCACATAAGAATCGCCTCACCTTCGCACACAGCCTTTTTTAATACATTAAACTCACCTGCGCACACAGGTTTCGCTCAGCTGCGCACACATCGATTACATTCTTCTTTAAACAGTGCATGTTACCTCAAATTCATCTGCGCACACAGACTTCGCTCACCTGCGCACACACAAATTGAGTCATGATGATCTCATTTTGCTCATTGCTTCCACAGTACCACGTCACACAAATGCTCTGCGTTTAATTGATGATGTTGGGTTGGGATGGGGGGGTGGGGGGGTGTTAATAACGTCCCTCTTCATTCAGTTCAGTTCAGCTTAGTTTCGTTCATTTCATTTCGTTTCAGTTCATTTCATTTCATTCATTTGCTCATTCATGTATTTTTCACATATTCCTTCAGTCCATCATTCATCCACTCATTCATGCATTCATTCATTCATTCATTCATTCAGCCGAGCAAGCGGCGTGCACAGCCGAGGAGCGCGTGCACAGCCGAGTAAATCTATGCGCGTGTACAGGCGAGGCAAATTCCGCGTGCACAGCCGAGGCTCCGCCCCGCTCCAAGCCACCCAGAATGCGTCCAAAACAAAAGGGAAAAAAACGCCAAAGCCAGCGAAAGCCATCCAAAGCCAAGAAGCCATCCAAAGACAAAAGCCAGAAGCCAAGAAAGCACCAAAAGCTGAAAGTCACCCAAACGCCAGGATCAGAAGCCAAAAGGCCAGCCAAAGCCAAAAGCCAAGAAAGCGATTGGAAGGGCCCACCCCTTCTGGAAAACCCCAGCTCGGGCGGGCCTTCTTGACAAATCGTGCTGCTCGGTGGGGGGGGCCGGGGGCACCTGTTCCACTCAGCGAACGTTCAACCGTGGCATTGTCGGTGAGTTGGTCTCGTCGTGCACGGTTTTCGGTGCGTGGGCCAAGCAGGACTGGTGGAACGAGCGGGAAAGGAGCTCGGTGGCACAGATCGAGCTTGCTCGAGGGAGTTTTGGGCCTTATGAGTTCAGAATCACCACACGCTCGTCACGACCGCCATGCCACACTCCTTTGGAGTTGCATGAGAGATCTGAGGGTTGATCTTGCAGCTGTGTGGGCAATCACAGCCCGAATCCGACCAAACATCTTGCAGCTGTGGGTGATTCCCAGGACTGAGTCTCAACCCCCATCTAATCAATTCGGGTCCGGGCAGACCTGCTTTTATTCCATGTTCGGCCACACATCTCCCGTAGATAGATCGTTCCAAAACAGATCTATATAAGTCTTGCTGAAGCTACTTACCCTACCACCCTACCACAAACGAATGCTCACGACTGACGCCGCAATGCATCTTCAGGTCTCGGAGCCGCACTGCCAGACCAGGGGCGGGAAACACCCTCCCAAAAAGGGTCTGACAGGGAACGCCCCCGCCAGGGGGACTGTGGACGGTACGGCTCGGCGTGTAGCATGTGGGTTCAAGCTCTCTGACGGAATTCCGGAGAAGCTGAGGGAACAAGTTCGAGGAATTCACGAACCATTTCGGAGAACTCTTAACCCTAACTGAGGGAAGAAACTCGAGAAACTCAGTCGTGTGGGGAACTGAGGGACACCCCAGAACTCCACTCAGACACCTCGCCATCGACGAACCATTCTGACGGACATCGCCATCACCGTCACGGATTTTTCCAGAGGATCGCCAGAGCCTCCAAGCAAAAAAAGAGAGTGTGTTGTTCTCCGCTTTTTTGCGAAAAGCTTCACTTTTGGCAAGCTCGGTTGGTGGAAGGAATCTGAAAAGCCACCCAAGTGGTTGTTGGTCCTTTCCAGCTGCCTTTACTGCTGCTGTATGCTAGGAGAAAGCTCCATGAACAGTACGCGTGGATCGAAGCCCAAGCTGGTTTGCAGAAGAAGGACAGTTCGAGCACACTCAAACCCCTTGACCAGCTAGGGTCGTTCAACCTGGACCCCTGGTCCGTCCACAGCGAACCACCTTCCAGATAGGTCGTGGTGTCGGTCTTGTGCCAGCTCCCCCCAGCCACATCAATGCCAAGTCTGCTTCTAGATCTTCCAGTATGAGTATTCTCATCAATACCATCAATTGCTCTTGTTCCTTTTGCTTCAAGGCCCACCGGGCTTCTCCCCCACGTGGATCTGCCCGCCGCCTTGGATCGGGGCCGCCGTCACCTGGGACCCGGTGCAGACGACCAGAAGACCGCCCTGACCTTGATGGACCTTCGAAAATCCTTTTGATGTAAGGATACAAGCTCCGAAGATGCTAAATCAATGCAGAACACCTACCAATTCCCAAATATTCTAAGCTGGTAACGGTATGGTGTCAATTGTACAGTAAAGGGTTTGCGGCTTCAATGCACGCCTGTTTCTTTTGATGATGCATTTGACTTGGGATGCTCGCCATGATAAGGAAGCTTTCAAACAGTTCTAGTAGGACTACGTGACCACCGTATCTTGTTGAGCCAACGGAAGCCTCATCACATGCAACTCTAGTGATTCTAGTGGAGTGTTGTTCTTGGATGTGTTTCGTCTAAAATATCTGCAAACCCCACCTGTAACACAAATTCCACATCGTCAGAGCAATTCCACAAAAATGATTTAATGTCCATTTACGTCGGATCGGTCGATGTCTGAGTATCAGAGGCCAATCAATGTCTGAGTTCGCTCTCCGATTGCTCTGGGCGAGTCGAAAAACATATGGGACCTATCGATGAAGCCTCTTCACCGCTGAGTCCTCCTGCTCGCCGTCCAAATCCTGGGCTGCTCGTGCTCGGTGCTCGCAGGATGCCGCGTGGTCGGTGGATGTGAACGTCTTCCACACCGCTTTCGAACCGATGGAAAAAAGACGCCTTCCAAAACGCTGGCAGCTCTGCTTCATCCATCACTGAAGAAACAAAGGGAAACCCTTCGGTGCCTTGCCACACTTGAAGCAATACAGAGCACCCTCCGGCATTTTGGCGCCACAGCTCCAACCTGACAGGTTCCACAGGACAACAAGAGAAGGTGTTTTGTCCCCCTTCCTTGTGTCAGGTCCAGGGAGCTGAGGTGTGGGTGACCAAACACGTGTTCTCTTCTAGAAAGAAAAAACAGATGAAGTCCAAAAACCTGAGTCCGTGTCACATCCTCTGGAAGTCGCTCTTCGCTCTTCTAACTTCTAACCCATTAAGCTCGAAGCATGCGGCTCGGACGGTATAGATCCTCTTGAGCTGATCCTCACCGGAAAGGGGGCGTACAGTACCAACCGCCAGGCCTAACGATGTCGTGAAGACCAAGAAAGAACACATGGCAGATCCACGTTTTGAAACTGATGTCAGTATGGAATAGTATGGAAGTGTGCTTAGGGCTCAGGGCTGTTCCACTGCCGTGGCAAGCGGATACGAGCGGCTGTTCTACCTGTGCTGCTGCATACATTTAATTCTAATAGCTTCTTGTTGCTACTAGTAAGGCACCTGTTACTACTAGCGTGGCACTTGTTACTAGAAGCGAACATTGCTTCACAAAAAATTGCTCGATGCTTCGCACATGAATTTGTGAAGACCTTGACGGTCCACCAACCGCCAATCACATGACATTGGCATGGTCGTCAGTCGTCCATACTTTTTGCAAAAGAAGAAGAAGACAAAAAAAAGAAGGCCTGTGTGCTTCAAGCTTGCCTTGCCAAACTCAAGTTGTGAAATGTAAGCAAGTCTCATGCACCCAAACCCACGTTGTCGCCCGAACCCACGTTGGAACGTGCCGTGCCCCAAACGACCAACGCAACGAACACACAGCACGTCCTCCAAGCACGAGAGCTTTGACTGCTGCTCTGCAACGGTCGCCTGTGCCTGAAAACGGTCCAACGCACCGGTCGAGTGCACGAGGCCGATATCGGTCGAAATCGAGAGGGAAACGATGCCAAGGGGACAAGGGGGGGTTTTGTTGATGCCCCAGTTTGGTTGTAAGCCGCTACCTTCCCTTCAAAGACCACTACTATCAACAAAGACATCAAGCCTCAGTGCCATAGTTCTGCTTGTGACACTTGCAGCTTGCATTGAAGAGTTCCAAAGGATCCGTCTGAGACGAAAAGAGAGCTGCTGAGACAGTAACGGTTGGCAGAGTTGCGTGACAGGGTGGCTTGCGGAATTGAAAAAGGAAAACCTGAGACGCATAATCCAAGGGACTTACATCTCTCCCAAGGGTTTGATGTCATTGTCCATATCTACAGAACAACACGAGATGCGTTGGACAAGACTCATGAATCACTCGGGCACCAGCGAGACTAGAAGCGCAAGATGCTCTTCGCTCAGCTTTGTTCTGTGCTTGTGAAAATTGTCTGATTTCATCCGAGCAATGAAGCCAGGCCTCGCTTTTCCTCTCTTCCTCCTTCTCTAAAGCCGCTTGAAGCTGTTGGCAATCTGCCTCGCAGGGTGTGCCAAATAAGCCCGGAGAGAGTCGCTGGTCCTCAAAAGAAGGCGCCCCTGGTGTTTCATGGCTCATGATGGCAGACCGGAAGCTCTTCTCAGAATCGCTGCCCGCCGCAGGGCTCGGGAGAACTGAAAGCAGGGAACGGCACCCAAGGGGGGGCGGGCAGCAGTGACCAGGCTGCCCCCACTTGACATGTAGAAAGTCTCATTGCTGCTGCCACTCCCAAGGGCGGGCTGGGTTTCAAGCTGCCACTCAATGCTTAATCAAACTGTAAACCTGAACAAGATGTTCAAACAAACCTTCCAAAAATATGCACAAGGGAATCACAACCCTGCTAGCTTCAGGCATATACTTGCCTCTCGAGGAACTCTGGCAAATTTGGAGTGGTGTAGGATTCTTCCATCAGCAACTGCTACAAAGGTCTCCACCAATGAGAAAATGAACTGAGGCCCTCAGGATTGGGGAATGGCCGTCGAGCCTTGAAACCATCTCGCTCTGCCACTGCCTCGTTCCAGGCCTTCAGACAGGCCAGTGAGCAAAGAAGGTCTCCTAACAGCATCTATACCCCGTGGGTCGGTGTTGGCCAAGCAAACCATCAAGCAGAGGTTTAGAAGCGACACTGCCCCAGGTCAAAGGAACCCATACCAGGACTGGTTATAATGGATCAAGAGTAGATGGCACTGGCCCCCCAAGATGTCTTTTATATAGGGTCCAGATAAACCACCGAGCTTGGGGATTGTGCCATCTACGTCCATCTACTCTGAAACCTTTGTAGATGTTAGACCAGTTTTCTTCTGGGATCCTTAGGGTTCCTCCTTTTCGTCCAGCTACTAACACCCGAGCTGCCCTCATCTGAGCGGTTTGGAGGAAGCTCTCAATCCTTTGCGCACCTGAAACAGGTAGAGTTCCCACTTGGAACTAGATCCAAGCTCCGAAACCCCACCATTTGCTCCCTGAGATCAATTGAAATCATGTCTCTTCCACCAAAGCACACATCCCCACCATCCCCACCTTTCGCGGCCCTTGCCCACTTCCACTCACCCTCCTGACGCCCCCCCGGACCCAAGGTGGGAAGCCTTGTCACCTGCCCTCCGCCCGAGGGTCCGCCTGGCCCAGCGTTTGGAGCTTGGCCGTCAACTCCTCGTTCTCCCGGATCGTCCTCGGCGCGCCGCTCGCGCTGGAGATCCGGTGGGGTCCGCAGCTCGCAGCTCGCGGCGTCGGAGAACGGCGTGGCGACGCGAGCGGGTCCCAGGTGCGCTGTTTCAAGAGGGGGTCGGTTGGATATATCGGTTATTCGACGTGTCAACAGCACGGCTTCTGTCTGGAGAAGTCATCACACCAGGACTTGCATGACAGAGCATGGCATAGATCATGATCTTGCAAAGGAACCTTTGGGAGATTCATGCCATGATGTGCAGAAAAATGTTTGACACAGCCTCAGTGCTGCTTGTCAGCAGTTGGAAAGGTGGTCAACAAGAGATCAGGCCCTGAGGCAGGTGCTGTGCGAAGCTGTGACTTGTGGGAATGCGGCCAGCTGCTGGGAATGCTGACCCAGCATGGCCCGACTAAGGAAAACTTTGGGTGGGATTTCTGACTTGGCGATCTTAATGTTGCCTGAGCTCTGCCAGAGCTTGGTCACAGTCTCACTTGCCCTGTCAGAGCTCACGCTCTCCTGCTCAATCTGCACGCTGACCTGCCCAAAAGAATCATTGCCAACGTCTCACAAGAAAACTTGACCAAACCGTTCAAAGCTAGTCCCAATCACTTTGCCCTTATTGGCATGGTTGCAGAGTGCACAAAATGCTACAACCCGCATGCCAAAAATATCCCTTGCCAGCCCAGCTTTGACGTTTAAGAACCTCTTGTGTTCAACAGCAGACTGCATGGGCGAAGCTCAAGACATGAAACCCCCCCACACTTAGCAACAAGGTCAACGAATCGCAGCTTCCACCCACGCGGCCCCAAAGACTCCTCGGGTTTGGTCACGTTTTGACGCACCACTCTCACCACAACCTTCCGGAGGGTGAAGTGACCCACCGCCACCGGCCTTCACTGACCTTCACTGACCCCCCCCATCGCCACCTCTTCGCCCCCCCATCACCACCTCCTGCCGGGCCGACGCGTTCGGGCGCCTCCGAGCGGAGGGACTGTCGCGGGGAAGGCAGGGAGGCTTTGGACTTGCAAAGGGAGAGGAGCTGCCGCCGCAGCTCCATGCCTCGGCACCGGCTCGGTCCGCGGTACTGGTTCGCTGGTTCGGTGGTTCGGTGGTTCGGATGGAGAACGGGGGCAATCGCAGTTCAAAACGAAACAACCACGCCAAAGCCACTGGTGACCACTGGAGAGTATCCGGACGTCGCACAATTCGCTGCAAGCACTGCAAGCAGAGTCATGCGAGTTTTACTCTTCCTTGCAGAATCTCACCGTCAAGCATGTTTCTCACCCGCGCGTCCACTTTTCAAGCAAAGCTGCATTCATGATGCCTCTCATTCACCTGGGCAAGCGGACGCGTCCCGGATGCGAGGCTAGCGAGGAGCGTCCTAGCAGTTATTTTTTGCACAGGACCCAGGGATCATCCCTGGTAGTTGAAAAATGTGAGGGTAGTGTTCCTGCCGTAAGCTTCGTTTGGTCTCCCCATTGTCTCCTCTTTCTTGTCGTTGTCTGAACCCAAAACCTTTTGATTCCTTGACTCCGAAACAGACTCCTCCGCACGGGCCGCAGCGGGCCCCCCGTTTCCACCTCCTTCCGGAGCTCCTCCACTTCGTTGATTCGGGTCCGTTCCTCGAGCGCCAGGGCAATGTTGTCATCAAGGGCCAGAGGCCTCACGCTCCGCCACGCAAACGGACCCAGGGACTGCACGGCACGCGCGCGCGCGCGCGCCGCGTTTGGGAGCAGACGTGGGTTCCAGGCGAGTTTCGGATCATCTGGTTGTGCCGTCTCGGCCCCCGGACCCCACATAGAATTCCATGGCTTGCCTCAGAAACGAGGCGTCCGGTGAACCACGAGGCGGACATGGGCCACGCCCCTTCAGATCGCTTCATTTCCCGAGTGTGTACTGTATATATTTTTGTGTATAGTGTATAATATTGTTGCACCCTTTTGTCGTGGCCAAAACACATCCTTTGGTCAATCATTGGTCCACGAAATGGAAGAATCTGGAGAAGCACCCAAAAGAGGGACACAGCCTTTGAAGAGGAGCCACTTAGTAACCTTGTTCGCCAGGAGACGAGAACGAGGTCTTATCCTCCTTGCTACCACTCAAGCCCAGGCCAGGTATTCCTCGGCATTGGGAAAGCAAAACCATGGAGGACCAATCCCTTTCAACTCCAAAGGCTTCCACGGCTTCAACTCAACCTGATAGCAGCTGAGACTCGCTTGTTGTCACAAATGCTCTTACCAAGCGTCAGCATGGCATCCTGCAACTCCTCCACGCGGAACCTCAGATCTGAAGGCCCCAGGGGAGCTCGAGCGGTAGACCTAGGACCTACCTGGACCTTGCGGTAGAGCAACTCCATCAGGGTCAAGAGACATAAGAACGAGCGGTTCTCGATTGACACGAAAAGCATAGCAAAAAAGAACTGCTCTCGTTGCTTCAGAAATTTGGCTGCTTTGCTGCTGTCGTCTACCGCTGGAAGTGCTGAGGACAATCCAGCAGCCGATGCTTGAGGGTTCGCAAACCAAAACCTGTGATCTGCTTGCTTTATGACCACAATCTCACTCCCATCTTGGCTGAGTAGATCAAATCTGGAAATGGAAAGGCCACGTACGACCACACACTTCGTACCGACCACCGTTAGCCTGCGTGTTCCACCCGAAGTTGGCCACGGTGCTCAGAGTTCAAGATCTTGTTGAGGGAGTCGGCGCCAAAAATCTGCAGCTCCTTGTCATGTGCGTCAAGGCAGAAAGGCAGTCGGCCTCACCACCAATGGACGCCTGCGTGCAACGTTGCTGATGGAAGACATCTCTTAACTTGAAAAAGGTGTTGCCCATGCTCCCGGGCGGTCTCCTCCATGTCTCTGTCCTTCTGCCTCTTGAGCTTTTCATAACCTGCAGCTTGCTTCATTGGGCAAAAAGGCCTTCGGCCCTTCAAATACCTGCTCACCTGTAGCAAGGGATGTTCATGCCACACCTTCAGCGCGCGAGATCCAAAAGAAGAAGTCCCAAGGTCTTCTCCCTGAGAATTCTTTCATGATCTTTGGGTATGCTTTGGCTACACCGGGCGCATCATCATCGTTCCCGCTTTGACAACCTGGTAACCTGGAACCTCCACCGGGCGCGCGCGCGCCGCGGCCTCGCCACGCATTCCGCCAGGACGCTTGAACCCGCGTTTGACACCACACCGTTACAGTCCTCGAGCCAGTCGAAGAACCTGTGAGCAGTTGATGTGCTCAGGATGGGTTGTCCAAGCCCAAGCTGGTTGTCTTCTCCATGTCCTTCTCCGAAAGGAAAAGAACAAGAAAAGGACTTCAAGAACTTAAAGGTACCTTGTTGCGTCTCAAAAGAAAGAGCCTGAGCATCCAAAATAGCTCCAAAATGGTTGGGTGAGTTGTGTCCAGTCAACAAAAAAGTTGCCTGGTCAGTTGGTTAACGAAGATCCTCCATGTTGGATCAAGTCATTTTGTTCTCCCATGGCCACATCTACTGCTGCAGGGTGAGATCCATATCCCAAACGTAAAATGGCGCCGTCTGAATCCTTTGGCCCATTCAAAAGCCAACAACATACGTAACAAACGTGGTAGCTCAACTACTGGCACCTGAAAGCAAACGAAAAAAGTAGAAAAAGATAGTAAAAGAATGTAAAAGGACCTGCCCATGATCTGCCCCCATTTCTCAGCCCAATTTCACTGCTTCTCTGGAGTTCTGAGCCGGTTTTGGGGGAGGATCCTGGCCCCCCGGCCTCTCGCAAATGGCGCCCGCCCGGCTCCCTCGGAAGAGCTTGCGTCCGATCTCTCGCCAGGAACGAAGAGTGTGCCCCACCCGGTCCTGAGGTCTCGAATCAGGAGAGGACGCGGTCGAAGCGGTCGAAGCGGTGCGGTCGCGGTCACGGTCCGCGGTCTCGGAGAAGCGAGGATCGCTTCTCCGGCCACTCTCCAGAAAGGAGAGACCGATCGGTCTCCAAATTGGTTGTTGGGTGTTGATTCTCGGTTTCGAACTTGGAGAAAGAAATGATCCAAAGATCCCAAAGAGCAAAAAGCTGTTTGAGCTACAGAAGCTCAATTCATGTCGGGAGAGTTTGACCACAAATGCTTCTGGTCAACCAACCAAGTGTCCTCACTCAGGTGTTCATCAGTCACCGGTAGCATCCAATAAAGGCTAACCCAACACTAGAGGGTGCATTTGTTCTCGAGCTTTTATCACAAGCAATTGAAGCATGCTTGCATGAAGTGGTGAGGTGGTGAGTGACAGTAATGGGACTTCCTTTCATTTCAATTGCGTGCCCTCCAAGCTTTTACTATACTATATAACGCGCACACGTTCTTTGAACTGTCCATTAACCTACAGTAATTCCTCAACATGAGGTCCTCATATGTCCTCATCCTACTTCTAGAGAACACTTACATAGCAGAACCAAAGCAACTTCCTGACATTCCTCGGATTCCTCGTGCTTTTCCTGCAAATAAACCCCGAAATTCCTGAACCAACACTCAACAAAGGAAAGCACACCAAACGAAAGCAAACCATGAAGACCTGAAGGACCCCCCAGAATGGACATCTCGCCACAGCTCCGCGCCGCCCAGCTATTGCTCTCGTCCGCCCCCCATCGTCGTCTTCGTTCGCCCATCCGCCGAAGCGCCAGGGCCACGAGCTCGGCCCCAATGCTGCCGCGCTTGGCTTCCAAACACAAGGCCTGCAAGCTGCCTGGCAGGAGATCGGGAGATTCGCTCCAGTCCGGAAAAAGCTCTGGATGGTTTGGGGGGAATTCAACGGTTTCTAAGGACTTCATTGGACGTTCTAGGGCGCTTTCATTGGAAAAATGTGTGGCTTTTTTGGAACTAGACTAGACCAAAAATCATGCGATCTGCAGCGTACGGCAATTATAAATGCATGTTGATTGCAACATAATGCAAAATATGGTTTCTAATGTCATACTTAGTGACTATACACAAGACAAGACTCGGTGTGAAGAATCCGGTCAAACCGTTTGTCACTCAACGGCTCAACAGTTTCAGCCGCGAGGCCAGCCCAGTTGTCATAGGCGATCTTGCCCTTCCTCAGCACGATCCCAACCGATCCCAAAGCGGCCTCCGCCTCCCACCGGGCCGCGAACCGATCGGCCATGCTCTGTGAACCGGGAACCGATCGGCCAGGTCTCACTTGGACGTGCGTCTCGAAGATCTGAGCGATCATGGAACTCAGGAGCTGCTCCTGCTGAGTTCGGTCGGCCGCACGGACTGGGGAGTAGAGTCCTGCGGAGAACCCTGGGAGAACGGATCACCAAACCCAGCCAAGTTCCGATGGGTTTTGGCTGCGATTGAAGGCATGGACTGGTCACTCAACTGCAGCTTTGAAGAACGTGCCACAAATCACAAATGTCCAGGAAGTGCCCTAACTGGCGGATGTCCTTTTCTTTTCGTCCGTTGCAGTAAGCAAAAACCCCGTTTGACACAATGGCGCCCATTGGGTGTCACATGATGTGCTCTCTTTTGAAGAGGTGTCCACTTTCAGCGGCCTCTTTTTCGTTGAGATTCCGCAGCTGGATCCCATCCGGCACAAAAACGCAGGTGCCATGTGCCCAAGTTCGGCCTCGCAGCGTGTTGACGGAGCGCGCCGTGTTTGTGTCCATCGTCGTCAGGTGGTCGCGCTGTCCCTCTCTGATTCAATGGGCTCCACCTCGACCATTTCCGCCGCCACACCAACAACAACAATTCCTATTATTATTCACTTCTTCTTATTAATATTATGTTTCTTCTTATTATTATTATTCTTCTTCCTCCTCTCCTTCCTTCTTCTTCTTTCTTCTTCTTCTGCTTTTTCTTCTTCTTTGTCTTCCTCTTCTTCCTTATTATTCTTCTTCTTCTTCTTCCTCTTCTTCCTTGTTCTTCTTCTTCTTCCTTATTCTTCTTATTCTTCTTCCTTCTTCTTCTTCTTCCTCTTCTTCCTTC